AACATTTCATATTTTTCCAACAGTTTTAGGATGTACTTCTTTTGGCTCATTTTTATTTCATCATCTTTTTGTTCAAAATGTATAACTAAAAAAATGTGATATTTTGCCTAAGTCCTTCATGTTAAACTTTGATTTTATTGTTTCTTTGAAACTGTCCAAAACCTCAATGCTGTGCTAGCAGCAATGATCAAGTCATCCACCCAGATGAGCACGATAACTGTGTCATTTTCTGTGTTTGTTTTCTGTACACACAATGATCAACTGGGTTCCTTTTGTTCAAGATGATCGTTCAGGAGTTTGTACCATTTTCTCCCTGATTGTTTTAATCCATACAGAGATTTCTTTAATTTGTACACACAATTCTGTCCTGTGTCTGTCTGTTGTTCAAAACCCTCCGGCTGTTCCAAGTAAATTTCTTCTTCAATTGGGTCATGCAAATAAGCTGTTTTGACATCCATCTGATGTACTTTAAGGTTGTTCTGAACTGTTACCTGCATTAATGCAGATGTTATGTGTTAAGGAAGAATTACTAAAATAGTTAACTTTGGAAAAAGTTTGGCTCTCTCTCTCTCTTCCTTAGATCCCAGGTCCTCTCGGCAGGCCACGTGTAGCCACAAGGAAAACAACAATACGAGTTGACATCACAGAATTACAGAATTTAATCCAATATAAGACAATGCATAAACTTAGAGGTAAGACAATGCACAAACTTACATCAGAAACTGCAGAACAGAAACATACATTGATTACCTGAGACAAAAAGATAAAAGAAAAGGCAAAGACGCGTCTTTGGGGAGAGCTGGTGCAAAAAAGGCTAAATAGTGGCAGCTATCTGACTTATTACTCCTGGGCACAAACTTTTATATGTAGGTGTGTCTTTCCTTTTTAATATATTCAATTAAGGCGTACCTCCGCTTGACCAACTGGAAGCTACCTTGGACAGTCAGAAAAACTTAGAACTTCCCCTAATTTACTGCTGTGAACAAAGGCCATTTGCTCTTTTGTCTAACAAACGAAGAGGAGAGCCTCATCCTGAACTCCTGTGGTTTTAAAACCATCCAATACAGAGAAAAGGATTTCACAGATATGTGTGAAAACCGGAGTCTCTCCCGCTATGTCTCCCTACATAAATTCTCAGGAACAAACTTAAATTTTGTAATTAATCTAAGGAAAGTTTATGTTAACAAACTCAGTTTTGCTCTTCTGCACTCAGCATCCCAAAAGATTGAGTCCTGCCTTAAACCAAAAATAACACATAAAATCAACAGAACAAAATGAGGTACAATTCCTTTTTCTAACCTATGAAACATAATATTCAATCCTAAGTATACAGGTTAACACAATCATTTTCCAAAACCCCATTTAGCATAAATCCTGAGTAATTTTCTAATACTAAACAAAACATTTTCATTTAATTCTAACATTCAGAAATAATACAGTTTTCAAATCCATTCATCATCATCTAAATTAATTCTACAACTAAATAATACAAGTTCCATCAGAGAATGCTATCTATAACTAAGAAAAATATATTGTAAATTAACTGTTAGTGGTTCAAAATCTTCACACAACCCAGATGTTCACAGAAGAAGTCTGATCTCCTGTGAACTCGTCATTTTCCTGTTTCCCAAGGTAATGTAAATGATACTGGCCTCTACTTTCCTGCATATGTTAATCTATGGCCTCCTGTCCTATGTGTTACGACCACAGGGGTCCAGGGAGAAGCTCTACAGATCACCCCATTTTCCTTGGTACTTTTGAATACTTACCCAGCCATAGTTTAATTTTAAATCACCAACAGAAACCTGTTCAAAGTTTAAAGATTTGTTCAAAAAGATTAATCTGTATTAAAGGCTAAAAATAATCATTTTTTCTCAACATATGTTAGCTGTTGGAGCAAAAGTTTCATGGTAGTCTATACCTTCTATTTGGCTGTAGCCTTTTGCTACAGCAAACCTAGCTTTGAAAATCTCTTTTCCTTCATTTTCTTTACTTCCCTCCAACTGTGTTCCTACCTTCTGGTAGAACACTCAATTCAAATGTTTCGTTTCCTTTAAGCGAGTCAATTTTGTCCCTCGTTGTCCATTTGTCTGGCTGTGGTGACTTCTGAGCCTCACTGAATGTTTGAGGGATACCAAACACAGCCCTGTAACAGTGATCAACAGTTATCTGTGTTGCATTTCTAGTTTTAGAAATACCAATCGCTTCGCTTTGTTTGAGTTTGATCACCATCAATTTCACTCCCAGTGACATAATCTGAAAATTCTGCATTTTGAGTTTCCTGAAGAGTAACTTCCTCTTTGTCACTTGGGGTTACATTTTAGGTAACATCCTGGGTTAAGGGTGTTACATCATGTCTGTCTGTCTGCATCAGGTATCTGTGATCCTGGGTCCCTAGATCCCAAGCATCTGTTTGTGTCTGTTGGTCAACACCATTTTCTTTGATGAACTTTACCAGCCTGTGTCTGGAAACTTTTCTCACCTGTGGGTGGTACACCAAATAAGCTGTGCTGTTCTTGCTGTACCCTAAAAACAGTCCTTTTTCCCCTCTTGAGTCTAGTTTCTTGTGGTGGTTGTTGTACGAGTAACACTGTGATCCAAATACCAACATGTTTGAAAGATCAGGCTTTCTTCCTGTCATCAAGAAATATGGGGTGTTTTTGGTTGTGAATCTGTTGCGAATGTGGGCAGCACACTGAACAGCATATGGCCACAGTTCTTTAGGTAAGCCCTTTTCTGACAACATACACCTTCTCATTTCAAAGAGCGTTCTCCACTGCCTCTCTGCTTTTCCGTTTTGGTGTGGGGAGTACGGTGACGACGTTTCATGTCTAATGCCTTTATCTCTGAGTAGTGTTTGAAAATCACTACATGTGTACTTGGTACAATTGTCTGACCTAAAACACTTTACATTACAATAGGGTGCACAGTCTGCCAGAAACTGTTTTGTTGCTTTAGTCATCACTTTTGTTTTTTCAGGATCAGCAATAGATCCTGAGAAGTCATCAGTAAAGGAAATAGCATACCTGTGTCCTTCTAAGCCTATAAGGTCAATAGGTCCTGATGGGTCAGTATGAACCAACTCTGGTGGCTTGCTCGTTTTAACATCTGACTCTTTTTTTCTGCTGTTGATAAATTTCCCTTCTGTGCATATGCTACACTTCATTTTATTGTTGTCAGTGACTTTCATTCCCTCTATGATATAAATATTATATTTGTTCTTTAATAATATCTTATACTCGTTATGTAATGCATAACATGCTTTCATAATTTGTGTTTCATAACCTGATCACGCTCCGAGCTCATGCTAAACAATGGTATCACGCTCTGAGTTCATGACAGGCATTGTTGTACACGTCTTAAGCGCGTGGACAGTGGCCGGTTATAACCTAATCACGTCACTGATCACGCTCTGAGTTCGTGTTGCACCTTGAGACAGTAAGAGGTCTGTCTCAAGGTGCTGGAATTCGTGGTCAGATATGAAACGGGAAATGGCCGCACTATTTTTGGAGAACCTGCCTGGGAGAGAGGAAATGGCCATTCTTCCTTCTCACACAAGGATGCCTGTTAGAGAGTATAAAATTGGGGGAGTTCCTCGTCTTGGCAGAGTCTGCCGTGGGTCGCGTACGAACGCCCAGCCACGTGATTGCTGCTCTGCCCGGACTGACGGCTGTCCGGTCCATGTGTCAAGGTAAGAGCGAAATATATCAGAGGACAATACATAGGATCACGTATGAGTGTATGAATGATGGCTTTGCTGTGCAGCATTGCTTTGCTGTAATCTGTGGCGGAATAAAAGGACACATTTATTCTAGCAGACCAGCGTGTTGACTCATTCTTGTTGCCGATCACCTCCGATCCTGTCTAAAATTGCACAAAACACTCTACCACATTTTGTAATTTCATAAGATCAGCCATGTTACAATGTCCTAATATTTCATGCCATGTTTTCAGATCACAAGCTAGCTTCATTTTATCTCTGTTCATCATGTCGTTTAAGTTTTCCTCAATGCATCTTTAATTGTTGCTTTTCATCCTCAAGTAATACAGTTTCTCATGTGCCTCGATAGGGAGTTCTATTAAGCTTGGTGTCGGGCAGAAGATTCCGGCTGACTTTGAACA